ATGTCTGCATGTTGACAGTGAAAATTAGCCAATGAGCGCGCGAGAATTTCTTCAGTTATTGTAAAAATGCCACTGTTCGACAATGTCAAGGGCCAACCTGCCCCGTTTACAAGGGTCTTCATGATTGGCCAAACGAAACAATAGGTATACAACACAAACAATGCCCCTAGCCCTAAAAACAAAAGAGGTTCAGATTGACAAGAACGAATCAAAATAAAAGTTTTAAAGAGGTGCAGGTCATCTGAATGTCAAGAGAGGACAATTCTCACGTCTAATGAAACAGTTGCAATAAAAAGAGTTATTTTGAAACCTAGTATATTCTATGACCTAGATTGACAGCCTACTAGATCGAGTAAAATCAGAAACTCACGAAAAATACAAGAAAAATTTAGAACTTAAAACGGCTCTTTTCAGTATTCCAGTGCCATAATTACGATAAGCTGTGATCAAGGTAGTACATTGAAGAATTTGTCCTCACTAAAATATCCCAGACATTTTCACATTGAATGTAATTGTAATTTGTAAAATTAAACTTATTCTGCATTTCTCTAACCTACACAAAGCAGTGTATTAAAACACATTAAAAACATACGCGCAGAAAAACCCATTCTAAGTCAATCATGTCGCTTTTGATGAGCAGAAATCTAGCAAATTTTGACCTATCGAATTTATGCAGTTGTTCAGGTTATCTAATCTTCTATTTCTTCACGTCGATTGACTGGTTCTTTTGTGGCTCAGAAACTGCTCGTTCATTTGAACTTGGTCCTGCAGTTATACTCTGTTGCGAAGGAGCACACAGTCCCACCTGAAGGGAGCTAAAAACATCAAAACCGTTAGTTAAATACCACTTGGAAGGGGGTAGGGCAGGGGAGTTGCTGCCGAGTAACATGATGTACGCTCAAGATTGTCAACAAACTGATGTATCAGTTTCTTGAGTATTCACGACGATAACAGAGATAACACGAATCGGCCATTGATTGAGCGTGGAACTGGAAGGAATAAGATCGTATAAATCGTATTAATTAGCTCGAGGCTGAGCAACTTTACATAAACTAGTAAGGGAAGTTGTTTGGAAAATAATACGTTTGGCAAGATAAATTTTGCCGACCATCTTTAATAGTTACAATTTTGACGACAATTCCAAAACGACTTTTCTAAAATTATTTAGTACATAGCCCAAAGAAAATACACCGCTGATTGGCTCAAAAACGTATTTCTATTTTACAAATAGATTTCATGTTGCTGTGCGTCTGTTCAGTAATATATCACAGATGACGTCAAAATGTGTCACTGATTTTCTTACAACAGCACCGAAAAAAGGGTTTGAAATGTTGTCCTGAAAGACTCGGAGCCCACTCGGCCGCGCCTCGTTGATTATCTGCACGTTGAAAACTCGGGCTCATAGTCTAATTGTCTAATAGGAACACTCGTGAAAGTTTGGGAAAAGCGCTGTGAAAGCAATGTTTACCATTGCATGAGCTGTGACTGTGATAATGAATAATCAAACCAGGAAACTCTGTGATTGGTTTACGAGTCTACTCATCAAATCAGTTCCGAACACCGATCAAGTAAAAAACTGCTGATTTGACAAGGATTGTCTTTCGTATTATATCGTATACTTTTTTCATGTCCAACCGGTTGTTCATTTCAGAAATGAAGTAAAGGGAAGCTGAGTCTACTGATGCCAAGATCTCTCCTCTCACATTGTTTTCTCAAACATGTCATTCTAAAAGCCACAAACAAACACCACCAGTCACTGAATCAAACGGTTAAAACGATAAAAATCTGAAAAATACGAGACAAATATTGAGTTTAGCTGAGTTTAACAGAGCCCGCCGGTTTAACCGTGCGCATGTTTGGATGGGTGACCTTATCAAACGACGTCAACCTACCGTTGAGCAGTGTTAGGTGCGTTCATATGAAGACTAGTGTTCTTTCCAGCCACACACACCTGACCTTTCTGGAAAGTCTGATGCAAATGAAGCTCTTTGAAAAGATTACCTAGAAGGAGAAACAGTGGAGAAAGAGTTAAAACCGGGTTTCGCTATCACTGTATCGCTTTGTTTCGTCATTACAATTCTCAAGACGTTCTCGAATCACAAGTCCAGTTGTTGTCGCACACTGTTCTTTTCAGTGCTTTCAACAATGGACACTATAAGCTAAGTTCACGGTGTGCCGACTTGATTTATTTTCGTTGGCGTTAGCTGTTTGTTCAGTTTGAGTTTACTGTCACGAAAGTTTTATTTTAGCTCTTCATTGTCATGCGAGGTGATTTACTCTGTTAGTTTAAAATTCTTACCAAAGTGACTACATTGTTGACGCGCATGTGTCTCTGTTATCTCAATTGCCGACGGATCCATAACAAAGTTTCCATCGTTGTCACCTAAACGGCTTGCAATGGAAAGGGCAGCCAGTTCAGCTGCCTCCACTGGATTACTTGAATTTGCAACTGACAGGCCTGTAGTAATAAAGTAAAGGAGAACCGTAAAGAATGTCGTTCCAAATAACGACACCAAACTCCGGGGGAGGGGGGGGGNAAGATGATTTGGACTTTGAAGACATTGAATGGCAGAAGTGGCTTCAGGGACTTATAAACTCAGGTACACTGCAGGGCAGGACTGGCGACATGTACTTCAGCCTAGTCCCCCCCAAGGGGGGGGGGGGGGGGGGGGGGGAACCCCATATGAAAAGGTCGGGGATGTTTGCCGTCTCGCTTAGAGGTGTGAATCAAGGATTGTGGTCTCACTTAGGGTGTTCACGACGAAACGCCACTATTTTAGCTGTCCAAGTATCTTTTAGAGTGCACTCGAAGAGATCAAAATAAAAAAAGTTGTCATTTTCGTTTTCAGGCTAGATTTTTTATTTCCGCCGCTCTCTCAAGTCCGGTCTACTAGCCTGGGATCCCTTCCTGAACAGCGGCTGGTAATCAAGCCTATTCCATTTTAAGTGGTATCTTTTAAGGGTCAAATAAAGCTCAAGTCACGCCCAGATCGATCTCCTTTAGGGGTTTAATTCAAATTTTCCGACGAGCATCCCCGACCTTTTCATAAGGAAGTGCCCCCGGGCACCAAACAAACCTTTGCATTCAAGTATTTGCGTAAAACGTTGTCTGCAGCTAACAGAATCAAGTTTCAGCTTAAATCACTAAACGCAAACTAAGCTCATTTTCATTCTACTTTGTCTAAAAGTCAGTGCTGGTTGCGTAGCAGCTCTAAACATTCTTCGATTACGGCATTACGTGGAGAAAAGATTTGATTCTACATGAAGTATGTTCGCTTAGCAACTTCACCCAGTACAGAAAGGCCGCCAAAACAGCTTGGAGATAAACAGGAAAGAACATCCGCAATATTAGTAGCCAATCAGACCGTGGTTTGGTATGTCAGACTACTATCCAAAGAATACTGCATCACGGTCTTAGCTGCACATTTATCCGTCCCTAGATTGCTTAGGGACGTTGAAGTTATCATTTCAAACTCAACAGCTGCGATTATGTTCTTATCTCAGTAATATAAGTATACGTACCTTACATCTCTACCCACCTGAATCTGAGGCTGATGTGGAAGGATCTGTAGCAGATGAATCGCCGATAGCCTCGAAATGTTTGCTTTCCACAGAAATTGCTTCTGACCGCCACTTGTACAGCAATCGTAGCCTAACCAATCCCACTGCCTCGAAAGAGCAACGCACCTTTAGGCGAGACTCTGCGATCTCAACCTGTCCCCTGTCCACAATGTCATCGCCCAATTCTCTTTGGAGGACACACAATGCCTCTGAGATGGTCTTCTTATGTGTCGAAGAAAGAACTACTCGGAGATTTCCCGAGCCTGTTCGTTCTGTTTTGACTGCCACAGGAAGCGTACTTATCGGAAACCGATCGAGCTCTTCCTCGCTCGATGAAGGCAGCACTATCACCGATTCAAACGCTCCAACCCTGCGAATTCGCCCATCCAGGTGAACACGTGCAGTCGCTCCAAGCTCCAGTTCGTCTTCAGACTCTTTTTTGATCTCGAACTGTTGAGAAAAGGTATCATGTGGCCTGTCGTACTTGATAGCCTCGCTATAGCAGGTCACTGGGGAATTAGCACTGTCAGTGATTTCAAATCTGACCAGTTTGGACGGATCAAAGGTCGCAAACTTGATCAGATTAAGCGAAAAATTGTAAAAGTAACGCATTTCAATCTCCTTTATTTTACCAACATCTTCTAAGATTCTTCTCAGGGAGCGCGAAAAGAGCTTTAATCTCTTGTGCAATTTACCATCTTGGCGGCTCTGGAAAAATTTCTTTAGGAATTTTGCCATATTCCAAATCCCTACACTTTCGCTCCAATTTTCAATCTCTTCAGTTGAATGCTTGTCGCAATTGTTGAGACACAAACTCTCAAGAACTCGACACACTTCGTACACGAGCCTGAAAATGTCTTTATTTCGAAAAGCGTCTCGAACTTTAGACTCATGTTGGCTAACACTTTCTTTAGGCAATCCTCTTAATCCATTCTGCTTAACTTGGTGATTCTCCTTACGGAAAATGTCTTTGATGGCTTGAATGAGAAAGGGGACAATGGAGAAGAAATCTTCATTGATGGATGTCGCTGAAGATGAGCAAATCGTCTCCAACTTCAAGGCAACATCTTCGGTGACTTGTTGACGGATGGAAAGAAAACGTGGGTAGTTTTCTACAGAGACGTCTGCATCCAGTTCAATGCAACAATCTTTTAAAACGAAATCGCGGCAGAGAGTTCTGATTTGATTGCGGAAGTATTCCATCAGATGCGGATCCTCGCGATTCAAGCTTTGGATTTCAAAGGCCAGTTCTCTCAAATGGTTGATATGCATCATCCCTCTTTCATCCACTTCACAGTCTTAAAAGATAAGACATATGATTGCTAAAACTCAATATGGGAGCATATTTAGCTTTTCACTTTCCAAATCAGGGAATATTCTCAGATATTTGTCCAGAATTCTTTGGTTAAGCATCAGGAGAGGCCAGACCAACTTTACAATTGTCTTTATTTTTTGTTACCCGCGAAGAAAAAGATTATCCGTATTATCGTGTCGAATTTCGGTAGAACAGCTCGGTTTTGACTGCCGCTCGTACTGCGGCGCAGCCACCGTATGCAAGGAACGGTCACGTGATTCACACAAAAGCCTAAAATCAAACTTTTGCGAAATTCATGGCGTTTTCAAGCTTGCTTCGAATTAATTTCCCAAATTTTTTATTGAAGGACGATTAAGTGGCAGACATATCTCTAAACAACATAGAGGATATTACACGGGCGGAGTGGAGAGATGTGTTTCATTTTCGAGTGGTAAAAACTATTTTAAGAACGAGCGCAGCGAGTCAGGCGTTTCAGTAAAATATTGTTCTTAACGTGAGAAAATAAAACTCATGTCTTCAAGCCACTGTGTAATTTCTTTTTTTACTTAACATAGTAAACTGACTGTTTGCGCAAACAACCATGAAAAAACAAGAAGTGACGACATCAATATCTTCCATAGTGAGGATATGAAAAATACGCAACTCGAGTCCAGGATGTCACGGTTTCGTACAAATTTTACGATTCTCTCACCTGAACGTGACTGATGGGTTAATATTGCAAACCAATTGCTACTAATTTTTACGGACACAAAGATAAACATGGTTCTCTTTTAAGCAAAATTTCACAGTGAAAAGAAGGCTAAAACTGTTGAAAAAACTTCTCAGTGTCTCAGTGATAAATGACACAAGAACGAGCATGTTAAAAACCTTCCTTACTTTGTGTCAAACTGGCTTTATTTTCAAAACTTATCAAAAGTGTGATCCACCAATGTGTGGCGTGTACATTTCTCCATTTGCAAGCCTCATATTAAGAGAAAAGCAATAAATAATAGGGTGAAATTATGTGCTGAAACAATTTTCTGGCCAAATTCTTAATCGAGATTGCAACTAACCTTTTGAATTGAGTCCTTGAAGAGTGTTCCTCAACATCGCAGGATCTTCCTTGCAGCGCTCTTCTTGTCCCTTCGACCAGTGTTGGAGAATTATTTTCAGTTGCTCTTCATCTTTCTGCCATGACTTAATGGCTTCGGTCACTGCTTCTTCCGGGACCTCAAGCTTTCGGGCAATTGGTACGAGGTTTAAAATGGACCCCTCAAGTCTTAACAGTCGCCTTACGTATTCGCCAGTATCTGTAACAAACACCTCCATAACCTAAGTGAGTAGTTCCAATCCTTATGCTTAATTTTATTACGAAGCTTCTTAATGACCGACAGACACTTGAGGTTTTAAATAGACTAAAGGACCGACAGTCAAGCTTTTTCTACCGGCTGACTAGAACCCGGGTTGACCTAAATATTACCCTGGTTAGCCTGAATAGCGTTCCGCTTAGCTTGTTTATGGTTTGTTTTCAATGTGTAATGGTAATGGTGACATGATATGAATCTTGAGATCACAACTAGAGATCAAGAAATCGATCACTAAGGTTGAAATTTTCGATTGGTTGTAACTGAGAATGCCGATCGCAATACTGAACAAGACAAAAAGCCACAAGCAAGGGCGGGATTAGAGGGACAAGGGAAACCACGGAGAGCCACACCGTAACAGCTATGGCGCCAGACAAACGACTGAATTACCGGTAGAAATGGTAGGCTTGAAGTGCCGTGAGTTAGCAAGAGGGTATAAGAAAACAAATTTTCGTTGTCACGTTATCCTATTTTCTTTACATCTGCCAGATTATGTAACTTTTCGACACGCCTTTGTACTGCTTTTTTCTAAGAAAATTGTACATGTAATGGATATACATGTACAATCCTGAAAAGTACCTGAATGTCTAACAACTGCTGAACTATACAATTTTTCCAGTGATTGCGTATTACACAGTTGGGAAGCAGCTCAAAATGGGACAAGTTTTAACAAACTGAAACAGGTTGTGTTTACAACATTGTAAAGAAAAGTAAACCAAAAAACTAAGTAATCTATCGCAGCAAAATTAAAAGAGCGAACACAACGGTCACCACCTTTCTGGTCATTACATTTATCTCTTTATCAAATCCTCATGGTTTCTTGACATATATATTACCTAACAGAGGCTAAGAAAATTGATAATTATCTCTTTCTTGTCTACTATCTTCCTCAATATAATCAATTTCAATGTTGTTTTTTCTGCATGGAAAACAGTTCTCAGTAGGATTCTGCGTTGACACGACAAGACCTGGAAACCGCAAGTAGCAGACAAACAAGTGATTTTGACAATTTTTATATATGTTATCGGTGAGATTTCCTAGTTTATGCACTCACAGAAATATACACTTTGCTCAATTTGCTCACCTAATCCACAGAAGGTTTCCATCAGGATATGCCCATATTGGCCTTCAATTCCTATCTTTCCGCACAGGATCCTGACACCATCGGTACCTGTTAGGGACCATTTTATGACATGTCCGGTGCTCCACCAAGTTGAAGAATCTACTTCGACGGTGCTTTCTAGCTGTCCATCAGTTAGCTCATAGTCCTGCCCAAGGTAAAGAGAAACCTTCAGATTTTCATTGTTGTAGATGCGATTGCTCTCTGGTCTGTCTATGGAGCACATTTCCTCATATCCGTTGCCCTTAAGCTGCATCAAAACAGAAGAAGGGTGTTCTCTGTAACACGTCTCGTGGTAGATGTCGTGGCTCATGAACACTAGGGCAAGTTCACCAAGGGGTGAATGTGGATGGTTGTCTTTAAAAAGCACTGACAACGTGTAGTGGAATCCCCAAAGGTTCAGCCTGGTGACTACATTTTTGGCTAATATCGAAGTTAACCTCAGCAGAGCTGCTATTCGAGAGAATCGGTTCGTTTCAACTTTCAGTTCTCTCTTTTGTAGATCAATTTTGGCCTGATGGGTGACATCTTCCCAAACGATCTTTCCGTCTCTAGCTTGTGTGCCATGCAAAACCAGAACGTCGCTTGGCCGGAAAGCATCTGTTTCAGTTGTTAACTTGGTCTGCAATGTAACCGGTTTCTTAAACACTTGACCATTTGGTTGCAAATTGATGACGGGTGCAATGAACATGACTTCACTCTCAAGTCCATTTTTGACTATCATATCACAGTGTGTAGAAGGCTTCTCCAGAACTACTTTGATGGCCACGCGATCGTCCGACTTGCTTATGGCACCATTTGGGCAAATAAGTTGAACGTCCTCGGCAAGCCGCAATGTCCCACCTTCATAATTCACGATTCCTTCGACGCTGTCCTGGCTTTCGATAAATGTTGGCCTTGTCACCTCGGAGTCCTTCCTAAGTACGTTTTCTGGAAGAAAATATACATGTGACAGTTATTCAANGGGGGGGGGGGGGGGGGGAACCCCATATGAAAAGGTCGGGGATGTTTGCCGTCTCGCTTAGAGGTGTGAATCAAGGATTGTGGTCTCACTTAGGGTGTTCACGACGAAACGCCACTATTTTAGCTGTCCAAGTATCTTTTAGAGTGCACTCGAAGAGATCAAAATAAAAAAAGTTGTCATTTTCGTTTTCAGGCTAGATTTTTTATTTCCGCCGCTCTCTCAAGTCCGGTCTACTAGCCTGGGATCCCTTCCTGAACAGCGGCTGGTAATCAAGCCTATTCCATTTTAAGTGGTATCTTTTAAGGGTCAAATAAAGCTCAAGTCACGCCCAGATCGATCTCCTTTAGGGGTTTAATTCAAATTTTCCGACGAGCATCCCCGACCTTTTCATAAGGAAGTGCCCCCGGGCACCAAACAAACCTTTGCATTCAAGTATTTGCGTAAAACGTTGTCTGCAGCTAACAGAATCAAGTTTCAGCTTAAATCACTAAACGCAAACTAAGCTCATTTTCATTCTACTTTGTCTAAAAGTCAGTGCTGGTTGCGTCGCAGCTCTAAACATTCTTCGATTACGGCATTACGTGGAGAAAAGATTTGATTCTACATGAAGTATGTTCGCTTAGCAACTTCACCCAGTACAGAAAGGCCGCCAAAACAGCTTGGAGATAAACAGGAAAGAACATCCGCAATATTAGTAGCCAATCAGACCGTGGTTTGGTATGTCAGACTACTATCCAAAGAATACTGCATCACGGTCTTAGCTGCACATTTATCCGTCCCTAGATTGCTTAGGGACGTTGAAGTTATCATTTCAAACTCAACAGCTGCGATTATGTTCTTATCTCAGTAATATAAGTATACGTACCTTACATCTCTACCCACCTGAATCTGAGGCTGATGTGGAAGGATCTGTAGCAGATGAATCGCCGATAGCCTCGAAATGTTTGCTTTCCACAGAAATTGCTTCTGACCGCCACTTGTACAGCAATCGTAGCCTAACCAATCCCACTGCCTCGAAAGAGCAACGCACCTTTAGGCGAGACTCTGCGATCTCAACCTGTCCCCTGTCCACAATGTCATCGCCCAATTCTCTTTGGAGGACACACAATGCCTCTGAGATGGTCTTCTTATGTGTCGAAGAAAGAACTACTCGGAGATTTCCCGAGCCTGTTCGTTCTGTTTTGACTGCCACAGGAAGCGTACTTATCGGAAACCGATCGAGCTCTTCCTCGCTCGATGAAGGCAGCACTATCACCGATTCAAACGCTCCAACCCTGCGAATTCGCCCATCCAGGTGAACACGTGCAGTCGCTCCAAGCTCCAGTTCGTCTTCAGACTCTTTTTTGATCTCGAACTGTTGAGAAAAGGTATCATGTGGCCTGTCGTACTTGATAGCCTCGCTATAGCAGGTCACTGGGGAATTAGCACTGTCAGTGATTTCAAATCTGACCAGTTTGGACGGATCAAAGGTCGCAAACTTGATCAGATTAAGCGAAACATTGTAAAAGTAACGCATTTCAATCTCCTTTATTTTACCAACATCTTCTAAGATTCTTCTCAGGGAGCGCGAAAAGAGCTTTAATCTCTTGTGCAATTTACCATCTTGGCGGCTCTGGAAAAATTTCTTTAGGAATTTTGCCATATTCCAAATCCCTACACTTTCGCTCCAATTTTCAATCTCTTCAGTTGAATGCTTGTCGCAATTGTTGAGACACAAACTCTCAAGAACTCGACACACTTCGTACACGAGCCTGAAAATGTCTTTATTTCGAAAAGCGTCTCGAACTTTAGACTCATGTTGGCTAACACTTTCTTTAGGCAATCCTCTTAATCCATTCTGCTTAACTTGGTGATTCTCCTTACGGAAAATGTCTTTGATGGCTTGAATGAGAAAGGGGACAATGGAGAAGAAATCTTCATTGATGGATGTCGCTGAAGATGAGCAAATCGTCTCCAACTTCAAGGCAACATCTTCGGTGACTTGTTGACGGATGGAAAGAAAACGTGGGTAGTTTTCTACAGAGACGTCTGCATCCAGTTCAATGCAACAATCTTTTAAAACGAAATCGCGGCAGAGAGTTCTGATTTGATTGCGGAAGTATTCCATCAGATGCGGATCCTCGCGATTCAAGCTTTGGATTTCAAAGGCCAGTTCTCTCAAATGGTTGATATGCATCATCCCTCTTTCATCCACTTCACAGTCTTAAAAGATAAGACATATGATTGCTAAAACTCAATATGGGAGCATATTTAGCTTTTCACTTTCCAAATCAGGGAATATTCTCAGATATTTGTCCAGAATTCTTTGGTTAAGCATCAGGAGAGGCCAGACCAACTTTACAATTGTCTTTATTTTTTGTTACCCGCGAAGAAAAAGATTATCCGTATTATCGTGTCGAATTTCGGTAGAACAGCTCGGTTTTGACTGCCGCTTGTACTGCGGCGCAGCCACCGTATGCAAGGAACGGTCACGTGATTCACACAAAAGCCTAAAATCAAACTTTTGCGAAATTCATGGCGTTTTCAAGCTTGCTTCGAATTAATTTCCCAAATTTTTTATTGAAGGACGATTAAGTGGCAGACATATCTCTAAACAACATAGAGGATATTACACGGGCGGAGTGGAGAGATGTGTTTCATTTTCGAGTGGTAAAAACTATTTTAAGAACGAGCGCAGCGAGTCAGGCGTTTCAGTAAAATATTGTTCTTAACGTGAGAAAATAAAACTCATGTCTTCAAGCCACTGTGTAATTTCTTTTTTTACTTAACATAGTAAACTGACTGTTTGCGCAAACAACCATGAAAAAACAAGAAGTGACGACATCAATATCTTCCATAGTGAGGATATGAAAAATACGCAACTCGAGTCCAGGATGTCACGGTTTCGTACAAATTTTACGATTCTCTCACCTGAACGTGACTGATGGGTTAATATTGCAAACCAATTGCTACTAATTTTTACGGACACAAAGATAAACATGGTTCTCTTTTAAGCAAAATTTCACAGTGAAAAGAAGGCTAAAACTGTTGAAAAAACTTCTCAGTGTCTCAGTGATAAATGACACAAGAACGAGCATGTTAAAAACCTTCCTTACTTTGTGTCAAACTGGCTTTATTTTCAAAACTTATCAAAAGTGTGATCCACCAATGTGTGGCGTGTACATTTCTCCATTTGCAAGCCTCATATTAAGAGAAAAGCAATAAATAATAGGGTGAAATTATGTGCTGAAACAATTTTCTGGCCAAATTCTTAATCGAGATTGCAACTAACCTTTTGAATTGAGTCCTTGAAGAGTGTTCCTCAACATCGCAGGATCTTCCTTGCAGCGCTCTTCTTGTCCCTTCGACCAGTGTTGGAGAATTATTTTCAGTTGCTCTTCATCTTTCTGCCATGACTTAATGGCTTCGGTCACTGCTTCTTCCGGGACCTCAAGCTTTCGGGCAATTGGTACGAGGTTTAAAATGGACCCCTCAAGTCTTAACAGTCGCCTTACGTATTCGCCAGTATCTGTAACAAACACCTCCATAACCTAAGTGAGTAGTTCCAATCCTTATGCTTAATTTTATTACGAAGCTTCTTAATGACCGACAGACACTTGAGGTTTTAAATAGACTAAAGGACCGACAGTCAAGCTTTTTCTACCGGCTGACTAGAACCCGGGTTGACCTAAATATTACCCTGGTTAGCCTGAATAGCGTTCCGCTTAGCTTGTTTATGGTTTGTTTTCAATGTGTAATGGTAATGGTGACATGATATGAATCTTGAGATCACAACTAGAGATCAAGAAATCGATCACTAAGGTTGAAATTTTCGATTGGTTGTAACTGAGAATGCCGATCGCAATACTGAACAAGACAAAAAGCCACAAGCAAGGGCGGGATTAGAGGGACAAGGGAAACCACGGAGAGCCACACCGTAACAGCTATGGCGCCAGACAAACGACTGAATTACCGGTAGAAATGGTAGGCTTGAAGTGCCGTGAGTTAGCAAGAGGGTATAAGAAAACAAATTTTCGTTGTCACGTTATCCTATTTTCTTTACATCTGCCAGATTATGTAACTTTTCGACACGCCTTTGTACTGCTTTTTTCTAAGAAAATTGTACATGTAATGGATATACATGTACAATCCTGAAAAGTACCTGAATGTCTAACAACTGCTGAACTATACAATTTTTCCAGTGATTGCGTATTACACAGTTGGGAAGCAGCTCAAAATGGGACAAGTTTTAACAAACTGAAACAGGTTGTGTTTACAACATTGTAAAGAAAAGTAAACCAAAAAACTAAGTAATCTATCGCAGCAAAATTAAAAGAGCGAACACAACGGTCACCACCTTTCTGGTCATTACATTTATCTCTTTATCAAATCCTCATGGTTTCTTGACATATATATTACCTAACAGAGGCTAAGAAAATTGATAATTATCTCTTTCTTGTCTACTATCTTCCTCAATATAATCAATTTCAATGTTGTTTTTTCTGCATGGAAAACAGTTCTCAGTAGGATTCTGCGTTGACACGACAAGACCTGGAAACCGCAAGTAGCAGACAAACAAGTGATTTTGACAATTTTTATATATGTTATCGGTGAGATTTCCTAGTTTATGCACTCACAGAAATATACACTTTGCTCAATTTGCTCACCTAATCCACAGAAGGTTTCCATCAGGATATGCCCATATTGGCCTTCAATTCCTATCTTTCCGCACAGGATCCTGACACCATCGGTACCTGTTAGGGACCATTTTATGACATGTCCGGTGCTCCACCAAGTTGAAGAATCTACTTCGACGGTGCTTTCTAGCTGTCCATCAGTTAGCTCATAGTCCTGCCCAAGGTAAAGAGAAACCTTCAGATTTTCATTGTTGTAGATGCGATTGCTCTCTGGTCTGTCTATGGAGCACATTTCCTCATATCCGTTGCCCTTAAGCTGCATCAAAACAGAAGAAGGGTGTTCTCTGTAACACGTCTCGTGGTAGATGTCGTGGCTCATGAACACTAGGGCAAGTTCACCAAGGGGTGAATGTGGATGGTTGTCTTTAAAAAGCACTGACAACGTGTAGTGGAATCCCCAAAGGTTCAGCCTGGTGACTACATTTTTGGCTAATATCGAAGTTAACCTCAGCAGAGCTGCTATTCGAGAGAATCGGTTCGTTTCAACTTTCAGTTCTCTCTTTTGTAGATCAATTTTGGCCTGATGGGTGACATCTTCCCAAACGATCTTTCCGTCTCTAGCTTGTGTGCCATGCAAAACCAGAACGTCGCTTGGCCGGAAAGCATCTGTTTCAGTTGTTAACTTGGTCTGCAATGTAACCGGTTTCTTAAACACTTGACCATTTGGTTGCAAATTGATGACGGGTGCAATGAACATGACTTCACTCTCAAGTCCATTTTTGACTATCATATCACAGTGTGTAGAAGGCTTCTCCAGAACTACTTTGATGGCCACGCGATCGTCCGACTTGCTTATGGCACCATTTGGGCAAATAAGTTGAACGTCCTCGGCAAGCCGCAATGTCCCACCTTCATAATTCACGATTCCTTCGACGCTGTCCTGGCTTTCGATAAATGTTGGCCTTGTCACCTCGGAGTCCTTCCTAAGTACGTTTTCTGGAAGAAAATATACATGTGACAGTTATTCAACTAAAAGGTTCCGTTGGCCGCGCGTCAGTTTGTCATCTTATCAAATATTATACAGATCACACAAAAAAATATCTTCTTCACCTATCCTTTCACAGTTAATTAAGAGATAACAATAAGGAAATATATAATCAAAACCAAGGGTCACGAGATACGAAAATAAATGTGTTACTATTTGAAACAAGATTCGCTCGCTCAATACTACAGTGAAAAGCCGAGACAGGAAAGAAAAAAAACCGAGTTGATATTGAACATTTTGATGCAAAGAGTTGAAATTATTTTCCAATTTGCTTATGGCACCATTTGGGTAAGTAGCTTGAACGTCCTCGGCAACAATACCCCACCTTCATAATTCACGATTCCTTCGATGCTGTCCTGGTTTTCTTTAAACTTTGGCGTTGTCATCTCGGAGTCTTTTCCCAGTTCATTCTCTAGAAGAAAATATACATGTTAATATGGGTTATTGACCAAGCGTGTTCGACCAAAATGGCTGGATATATTTTGGCCAAGTTCTTTGTTTTGCGTGTTTATGGACTAAGACGGATTCGCTCACCCAATACTACAGTGAAAAGCCGAGACAGGAGAGATAAAAAGTGTTGATATGGGACATTTGGATGTAAAGGGTTGAGATTATTTCCAATAAGCAGCTTTTCAACTAATTTTTTTTTTTTTTTGACAAGATATATATAGATTACTTCATAGAAAGTGCGACTTACGGATTTTTATTCACGAGTTGCAAAACTTTGGAAAACGAACGAGTGAG